CCTCTATTAATTAGTTGAGGAATTCAGTATTGCAAGATCTGGCAATAACTGACAGCACAGGTGACTTTAAAAAAAAAAGAAATTAAATTTATGGAGGAGAGCTCTATTGGTAGCTCACAACTATGTTTCTCTGGAAAGATCGGCAGAGCCATCGTCTTACACCATCATTGTAACCATTTGTCTAAAATGGTATAGGGTTTTCTACCTAAGCAGGTGGTTGGACTAGAAGACCTCCAAGGTCCCGTCCAACTGTTGTTCTGTTATTCTGTCTTCATATTTGTTGAGTCCTTGGTGAAAAGCAGACACGAGAAGCAGTTGTAGTTCTCAGTTTTCTTTATTCTGTGTTCAGCTCACAAGTAGATGACTTCAGCAGCTCCCAAAACCTCCCAGCTTCTTATATAGGCATTTCCCGGGTCAATGCGATACTTTTCCCGCGCCAGCACCCGCGCATGCGCACGGCGCTGGTGACAGCCTGTCTGGTCCCGGGCAGCTTTGCACCTGCCCGGGACCGCCTGCAAACGCCCCGAGCCGTTTGCAAGGCTCGGGACATAACACCATTCATTGTACAGAGATGTTACTGTCACAATGCTGGGCTAGATCTGTCCTTATTCTCCAATATCAAACTGCTAATTGTTGCTTTATTTATTCTATCGAGCTTTCACTGCATTTATTTAAATGTCTAGACCAGGGGTAGGCAACCTTGGCTCTTTTATGACTCGTGGACTTCAACTCCCAGAATTCCTGAGCCAGCTTGATTGGCTCAGGAATTCTGGGAGTTGAAGTCCACAAATCATAAAAGAACCGAGGTTGCCTACCCCTGGTATAGAACAACACCTATACTTGAATCAATTTACTTCAATTAAAATTACACTAAATTAATTAAATGTATAATTACCTTTCAGTTATTTGTTAATTTTATTTTTCTGACACATTTAAGAATGTGCCAGAAGAGCTAATTCTGAAGGGGACTTGAAACTGTACATAAAATTTTAGAGGCCCTGGAGCCGCTGATTATGCAGCTAGGCTCTAGCGCAGTGGTTCTCAACCTGTAGGTCGGGACCCCATTTGGGGTCGAACGACTATTTCACGGGGGTCGCCAAACAAGGCTGTCAGCCATTTTTCCCCCTTTTCTTTGGCCACGCCCCTGGCACCCGGTGATGTATAAGTGGTTGGGGGTCACCACAACATGGGGAACTGTATTATGGGGTCGCAGCATTAGAAAGGTTGAGAACCACTGCTCTAGCGCCTACCAACTCTGGATAGCAGCCCTTTTTCACCAGTGGAACGTTTTGAATTGTCTTCACAGGCAGATCCTCAGAAACCTGAAACAGCAGAGAATTTCCTCAGAGCTCTCATCAAAGTGGAACTTGGTGATACACTTCTCTTCACAGAGTTTAGAACTTCAGTAACCTTTGAATTGCTGATTCATAATGCCTGGAGCCTTTTTTTACCACTACTGAGGTGAAGTGCTTTCTACTCCTTGAGTCAGCAAAATACACACACACACACACACATAAATACACACAACAACGAGAGATTTGCTGCCCTCCCCAGCCTATATTTCTTCCTGGTCTCTAGAATTTCTTGATTTACCTCCAAGGCAATTGGGGGGGGGGGGCGCATGCCAAACTTATGCTTGAACTGACCGTTAGGAAAACGTCTTGCCTGAACTGGATTGAGTACATTGGGGAGAGCGATGAGAGACAGTTAAGGCATGGAAGAACAGGGATTTTGGCAGTGCAGTTCTCAGTTCTGGCTGCAATAGACTTGATCTCTAATAGACTATTCTTTTCTCAACAAATGGAGCCAAGGATCGTTTCTATTTTGAGGTTTAAGCTGTGGCAGGTCTGACAGCAAGCCTAACAAGATTTATATTCTTTGAAGCTGGCTATATATGATGCCAGAATAAAGAAAACAGATATCCCTACAGCCAAGGACAAGTTCCCATTAAATTGCACATGGTATCTCAATCTAAATATCTAACTTTACTCATGGACTGGAAATGACATGAAGGCAATATCTTGGGAATGCTGCAGAAAAAAAGATGTGGTCAGAGTATGTTTGTGGTATGATTAGGTGCAAGTGGAAAAGACTTCACTTGTGATCTGGTGAAGCCCCAAATCCTTTTCAAATGTACCACTTTCCATCAAACAAATTATATTTTTTTAAATCTCAGTGTAAAACATTACATGTATCCTTCTGCTAAAATTTGTTTGGGGGGGAGAAACAGGCATTATTTCTGTAGAGTGTATTATCAAAATTATCCTACCTGTTCAGTTTCAGATTTTCAATCTATGCTTCCAAGCGTAGGTAGATTTTAGTCTTGGAGGGAGGCTCTACTCTGATTTCCCCCCCCCCTCTAAAACCCAAATATCCTCCTGTTAGCACTTGCTTAAAAGAGAGCTGTGAAAATATCTACAGCTGTGAAAGAGAGCTGTGAAAATATCTACAGACCCCTCACATCCTGGACCTAAACTATTTCAACTTCTTCTCTCAAGATGACGCTATAGGGCAGGGGTCCCCAATCCCAGGTCCGTAGACCAGTACCGAGCCGCGGTGTGTCAGCAACCAGTCCGCACAAACAAGCAAAGCACTATCCGCGAGATTCAGGCAGCACACAAAACCACGCACCCTCTGGTCCCTGGAAAAACCTCTCTCCACGGAACCGGTCCCTGGTGCCCAAAAGGTTGGGGACCTCTGCTATAGGGCATTGCAACTAGACATAAGGACATAAGCCTAAGCATGGGGTTGGACTAGAAGACCTCCAAGGTCCCTTCCAACTCTGTTATTCCAAACTCTTCTAAACTGCTTGTGGTTTTCTGTTGTTGACTTGTATTTACTATGTAGAAATATAGTAGAATGTTATGTATGTACCTTCCTTATATAGAAATGACATATGCCTTATACAGGCAATATTCCCTGCCTCTAAGAACTAGTGCTGAGTTCTCTGTTGACTATCCAGATATGTTCTGAGGCTATAGAACCTACGATGGCTCCAGATATCTTTAATATTACTGGTTTGTGTTTATTCCTCCTTCTTGCTCCATTGGACAGATGACCCATTTCTACACAGCAAATACAAGTCAGTAACAGAAAACACAAGCAGTTAAAAGGGCACTGTTCAAACCAAATGCAAAGTTTGTTGACGGCTGTTCTTATAATCCAGTGTTTCCCAATCTTGGCAACTTGAAGATGTGTGAACGTCATCTCCCAGAATTCACTAGCTTAGTTTGAAGTCCATATATCTTCACGTTGGCAAGGATGAGAAATACTGCTCTACTCTCTCCAGGCAACAAATCTTATTTAAATTGTCTGCTAAAGGATCACCAAAAGGAGAGAGCAAAACATGATATATAGTACACAAATACATACATATTTCAATATGTACATGAATAGGCGGATATTCATAGCGACTGTAATTATAAATAGCAACATACTATATTTCATTACTGAAGAAAAAAAATGGACTAGGCAATCTCTGTTTCAGCTGAATCTACTGTCTGTATTGCAAGTATTTCCACATTAGACATTAGTTATACGTCTGGATCTAGAAATCTGGTCTTTTTGTGAGCGGCAGCAAATTAATTATTTTAATTGCTTTGTTTTATTTCGTAGAGGCAACATCTGCAGTATTCAACAATCTCAGAGTAGATCTGAATTTAGCAAGGAAAGGCCTGATTTGTAAAGAGGAGTGGCTAGGCAGGGAAGAAGGCCTAACCTTTCTCCAACCCAAAGTATTGCTTTCTCTCTGAAAACATCTCTTCCCCACAAACAAGGTTTAATGATTTCTTTCTTGTGCTGTTCTCTGTTCATTTGTGGCCAACTACCTTGACATGTTACAACTATCTGATAGAATAAAGGCCAGAATCTCCACCAAAAAGGAGGAAAATTGTCCTTAAGTCAGATCTGACTCATGACTGCATTTTCCTATGGGAAAATGGGATAGAATTATTTTTCCTTCTCTTGTTACCTGGCTGATTTTTTTTTCCAATTTCTCAATCTGGATTAAGTTCCAAGAAAAATCCCATCTAAAAATTAATCGGAACCAGTCCCTTAAATAGGAATAAATCCAAATCCAACATATACGATGGGGTGTGTTTGTGGTGGTGGGAGGGCATAGTTTGGTTTGTACAGTTGCCTGCTAAATTGGTATCAATTTATGTAAGTCACTAAGAGTTGCTTTAGACAGTGAGATGAGTGGTGTATAAATTTAATAATTAAAAAAATTATATTTTGGAAGAGGAATGGAAGAAAGAGCCTACATTTATTGTAGCTGGAGCTAGTTTACCATTGCAGAAATTGGTACCATGTTTCTTTGGGACTGGTCCTGCAAAAACTGTCATCTATACTTGGAATATTAAGGAGACAGCTTGTAGTGACTGAGTTTTGCTTCTTAGTACATCACAGTGCTGCTCTTTGGAGCTATCACAACCTAAGATGGATCCCTCCCAAATCCCTTAAAAATTAAATCAGCCACCACTCAAGATGTAGTCCCTATACAAGCCTTCTACAAGGTCATCATGCTCAGTTTTAACCGCTCACAGCCTCTCCACAAATCTCGATGGCCTTCCTTTGAGAAATTCTAAGCTGCCCCCTTCGGAAGATGGACTTGGAATTTCAGGCTAGAGACGAGAAACTTCGTGCTTTCTTCGGAGATTTGACATTACTGTTGCCTGGGTTTAGAAGGGAAACCCTTCTCCGAGCTGAACTCAGCAAGGAAGCAATGGCCAGTCATTCAGAAAAAGGGCTAAAAGTGAAGCAACTCATTTAGTTTGTGACTGATTATCTGACAACCTCATTGGGAAACTCTAGCCTGCTATGCTGCCTCCCCTGCTTTGACTCTTCCCCCCCCACCTCCTCGGCGCACACAGCAGAAGACCTGATGCTGAAAGAGTCAGTCTTAGGACAGGGGAATATTTTCCTTCCTTGCTCGGGAGAGTTTAAATTTTGCCAGAGAAAAATAGAAAAGTCAGAAGAAATAAACACCGTTTGCAACTTACCCGGAAGATTTTGAATTGAGAGGGGAGCAGAGCTTGACCACGTCCTGTATCCTGCTGTTTTCCTGCTTCTGGCAGGCTGTGATGAACTCGTCCTCCGATGTGAGGTTTTCCTCCAGTATCAAAACCTGAAGCGCCTTCTGGAAAGGTGTATTTAATTTCCCTGCCCTGAGCAAATCCCAGGTTTTCTCTGATTGAGCCTAAGCTGAGAGATGGTCACAGACCTCCTTGCTGATCATCCTCTCCATCTAGATTTCCCAACTGAAAAAAGAAGGTTTCCCCCTAATTTAGCCCAAAGCTCAGTCTGGCTAAAGTTTGTCTCAGGGAGGTGGTGCACGAGAGGGAGGTGTGTCTGAGCGGGGATAGAAGACGAGATCTTATTTCCAGCCCCTCTCTTAGCCTCTCGCCTGAAAGCAGAGGTTTGGTAAGAATCTGGATGTAGGAGAAGTTAAAAATGTTTCTTATTACTGCCTCTTCCTGCTTGGCTTTTCTCCACCACTCCCAGCTAATAAAGCATTTCCTATTGTGGAGCAGAGATCTATACGCATACTCCCCCCCCCTCTCTCTCACACACACACCACACATAAATTTTTGCTTCAAAGCCCAAGCACCCCCCCCCCGCAGTTGTTTTCCGTGATCTCCCATACAATCCCTCTTGCTTCATCTTTCCTCGCCTCTCTTCCTTGCTGTGGACTTCATTTTCACAGGTCACTTGACTAACAAGGGTTGCCAGATCCACTAGTGCCTCCTTTAGATCATGCTTCACTTGGCCATGATGTGTTGACGAAGCCATAGTTGACTGGAATTACAGACTGAGAAGGATGGATTCACATGGTCGGCCTAAGGGGTAAAATTGTATTCTGTTGGGAGCAGTAATGGCTCCACATTGTGTATCTGACCCTGCAGCCAGGGGACATCTGGAGAACAGCTGGCATCTCAACCTGCTTAGCATGGCCACGGCCTCAGTGTTTGCTGCTTGCATTCTGCTTCAGCCACTTCAAACCCACACTTTGGCCAATATCTGATCCTGACCCAGTTTGAAATCCAAAGAGGCTGCCTTTTTTGACTGGCTGGTATCACTGGCCTGGTATATCTTGTCTCATTCCTTAGAACTGGTCCCGACTAGGGACAGAAATAACTAAGGAGTTTCAGGCAAGATTCTGAATTGTTCCTCCTTTAGTAAGAGTTTGTCACAGAAGACAAACTTCGTCTGTTTTAGCCTCCAGTCCCCTAATTATCTTTGTTCCTCTTCTTTGCACTCTTTCTAGAATCTCACCATCTTTGTTATATCGTGGCGACCAAAGCTGAATGCAATATTCCAAGTGTGGCCTTATCAAGGCATTATGGAGTGGTATTTTAAAAAGCCCCTCCTGCCATCCAACGATCCCACTGGTTGAAATTACCATGTCAATTTTTCGGGGTATAATGTTTATTGATTACACATAAATGTGCATTGGATTGGATTTTTCAATCATTAACTTGGTTTTTAGGAGATATGGTGACTGTATTCAGGTTCATCAAGAAATTGCAGTTAGTGTACCTTCAACACAACTTTTATGCCCTAACATGTGACTGTTTAAAAATTTTAACATTTAACTTTTCAGATGCTATTCAGACTTCTGATTTTGATCAGAATTCTGCTAACCTTAACAGAGGTTATAGCATCGGCTTTACAGGTATACATTTAGGTGAAGGGACCGTATTGTGTTTATGATTTTATTATGCTTAAGCTTGATATTAGTAGTGTTATTTTGTAGCCATTTTATATAAAAATTTATAACACTACTAATAAAATAAAAAATAACACTACTAATGTCAAGCTTAAGCATAATAAAATCATAAAACACAATAAGGTCCCTTCATAGGGTTCCACCAACCCAGTCAATTAAAGAGAGTAAACATGGGACTGTCTTGCGCCAGAGGTAGGCAACCTTGGCTCTTTTATGATTCGTGGACTTCAACTCTCAGAATTCCTGAGCCAGCCATGCTGGCTCAGGAATTCTGGGAGTTGAAGTCCACGAGTCATAAAAGAGCCAAGATTGCCTACCCCTGGGCTAGCCCCTTGCTAACTGCAGTTTCTTGACACTCTTATTATACCACAATAACTTTGTGAATCCAACCATTGTGATTTGTAGAATAACGTTTATGACCAAAATATAGTCAGTATGAATTCAGACAATGGTGGCTAAGTGAAAAAAGCCAATGTTTAGAAACTTGATGGGTAAACCCAGCCAAGGCTGAAGCAAAGTTGAGGACAAACATATTGTAGAAATTAGTTGCTATCTGCTTTGTAAAAAAAAATGCTCCCAGTTCTCTAATCGTGAGAGTAGATAGTATGTTCTGACAGGGTTGGAGTCCAATTTGGAGAAACCGGATTATGCTTATTTCATATTGGTGTGTTGAGCTCCTTGCCTTGTTTCCAATATTTATTAAAACAATTCTGAAGGTTAATTAAATGTCTCTTATGATCATTTTGCTTTGTTTGTGTCATTTCTCAGAAGTGAAATTGGAGAGCAGCTACAAAACTGAAAGACATCCTTCACTGCAAGGAGGATGCTAATACCACAGTAGTTCTTACCAAGAATTGTAATAAAGCTGTCAAAGAGAAACTCCAGTGATTGACAATCAAGAAATCTTCTGCCATTTCATTTTTTTAAAGAAGGCTAATTTACAGGTAGTCCTTGACTTACAAGCAGTTCATTTAGTGGCTGTTCGAAGTTATAACAGCACTGAAAAAAGGGACTTATGACCATTTTCATATGTTTGTGGCAATCCCCAAGGTCACATGATCAAAATTCAGATGCTTGGCAACTGACTCATATTTATGACGGCTGCAGTGTCCTGGGGTCATGTGATCACCTTTTGCCACCTTCTGACAAGAAAGTCAATGTGGAAGCCAGATTTGATTAACAACTGTGTCACTAACTTAACAACTGCAGTGATTCACTTAACAAGTGTAGCAAAAAAGGTCATAAAATGGGGCAAAACTCATTTGTCTCAGCAACAGAATTGTGGTCATAAATTGAGGACTATCTGTATTTGTACTCTATATTAGGACAATTGAAGATAAATTCTATTATCCTGTAACATTAGAAGATATCTGTGGCCTTGTACAAAATTAATCTGTGCTTAATCCAACATTAATCCATATTGGTTTAATTTTTTAGCACTTGAAAATAAATCCATCTGTGTATTACTTCCATGGAAATGTAGATATGTTAGGAATTTTCCCATTTGATTGCAGATGTAAATTCTATCATGTTTTCCTATCAAATTAATGAGTAATGTCCAAATTTCTTGCTGGCAATCAAAGGGTGCATTTGTGTGATATTAACATCTTAGTTCCTCAAAGTCCTTCAGCTCATGATGATGTTATAGTATAATCAAAATACCACATAAAGGTAAAACTAAAAGTGCAAGACAAAAATGTGACAAGAGACCCATTCTCCTTCCTGTCTCCCCTTAACTTCCTCTTCCTGATGGAAAAAACTGAATCTAAATTCAGCAATTTCCTTTGGAAAGGATACAAATCTACCTATTATACAGAACCCCTGCCAAAAATTTTCCGCATATTTTGAATCAAACTATCCAGTTCTTAGTCACCTCCTCAAACCTATTTTGCCAATATTCAGTCCGGATCATTTCCTCACAGATCCAAAAGTCAAATAAGGTTAAAGCAACAGAAATCATAAAGACTGACACATTTATTATGGTACATGTTCCACCATCTACTATACTGTATATAAATGAAAGCAATGAATGTCTGTTTTTCAAAAGTTTTTATTTAAAAAAAATAGATTAATAAAAGATAAACATGAAAATATATAAAGAAAAGTTACAGGAAGAAAAAAGATAAAAGAAAAAGATAATTAAAGAAGTGACTTGTGATCATTTTTGCAACAGTTAGAAATACAGTATGATCCCTCCTCCTTCACTCACATTATATTTCAGAAATCCCTTTTGTCTCAGATTCAACTCTATTTTCAATCAGCAAATCCACAAATCACCATTTCACTTTTTTTCTGTATTGAGCAAAAAACCATTCAAAGTCTCAGTCTTTTAACAGGCCAATTTTGCTATTTCTGCTCATTTCTGTCATCTTCATATTCCAATCCTCCATTGTGAATATTTCAGTATTTCTCCGTCATTGTGCATATACTAATCTTCCTGTAATTACCATATATAAAATCAGTCTTTCGTAAGTCTTTTCTAAATGATTATCCATAAATCCCAGGAAAAAAGGTTTCATATTTGATATTTATGTTTAAAATTCTTTATATCAACATATACATTTGAATCAATTTTTTGCTTTTTTTATAAGTCCACCAAAGATCATAGTGTTCTTTTATGATTTTCACATTTTCACCAATGATTGGTACCTTTTTACAGTATATCTTAGATAATTTCCCTGATGTTGTATATCAATGGTACATCATTTTATAAAAATTCTTCCTTAAATTATAACACAAGGTACATTTCAATCCTTTTACCCATATCCTCTCCTACTGATCCATCTGTATGTTATAACTGAAATTCTTAACCTATTTTATCAAGCAACTTTAAATTGTTTTTCTTCCATTTCTATTTTCAGCAAAAATTGATATATTTCGGCAATAACATGTTCATCATTTGTACATAGTTCAGTTTCCATCCTATATTGTTCAATTCTAGTTAGATTTTTATCTAAATTAAATATTTCCTTTAATTGTGCCTATGAAATTCTTGAAAACTAAATCCCTTTGTAGTCAGTTGTTCTTCTGACCTCATCTTAAAGTTCTCCATGTTCCTGCACTACAGATTTTGGTATGTTAACCATTTCTCTTTGCCCAGTGTTTTTTTTCTTCTTCTATAAAATGCTTCTTGTGCTAAGACTAATAAAGGTATTTTAGGGCACAGCCTGGCCTTGTATTCATTCCATATTCTTAATATGGCACTTCTCACCTAATGTTTTTTTAAAATCTCTGTTAAAGCACTCATACTTTATCCTACAGTAAAAGCCATCCTAACAAAACCTCCAGTTATGTTGTTCTAATTCTAACATTCTAACATTCTCTTGTTTCTCAGCAACCCCCACTCTTTCATCCGGGTTTGTCAGTTTTTTTTTTTTAATTTTGCTGTAACAGGAAAGTATGGGTGACCTTTGAAATTATTATAAGGCTGAAATCTTTACATGCTCTGTTCAGCTAACTTTTAGGTGAAGTTTATTCTTCAGTTTCTCAGCTAAGTCATCACCCATCCTCAGTCTGCAATAGATCTTTTGATCTTTTCCACTTAAATTACATCTGTACACATCTATACCTCATCACTGTGAGAGGGACCTCGGAGTCCTAGTGGACAATCACTTAAATATGAGCCAGCAGTCTGCTGCAGCTGCCAAAAAGGACAACACAGTACTAGGCTGCATTAACAGAGGGATAGAATCAAGATCACGTGAAGTGTTAATACCACTTTACAATGCCTTGGTAAGGCCACACTTGGAATA